CCATTTTTGACCGATATGTTTCGGCGGCCGATATATCGGTGCATCCCAAATTCACATTCTGCCATCTAGTACATGCACAGGGTATGCTACATTTAAGGCATGCCTCTGGTAATAACTGTCACAGTTGCCAGTGTGCTTTATGTCAGATCTCCAACAATCATTCAAGCCCTAAAATGGCAGGTATCATAGCTAGTCGTGTGTAGCACCACAGAACTGCAGATTTAAATAGAGGTTAAGATGGCATAGTCCTCAATGGACAGGAGGGTTTAGTTTTGCTTTAAACAGTAAATTGTGTGTTTAGAGCAAGAATACCATAAGTATTACAGTATACATACTGCCACTTTTTTTTTAACAAAGGTCAGTGTTACCTGGAATAGTAACGACATGTAGAGAAAAGCAAATTACCTCAAAAGGATGCCACTGTAGTATTACATTAATTCCCTGCAACCACCAGGACAGAGGGGAGGGTGGCCTGTGTCTTGAACCCTACTCCAACAGATGGATTTTTACAGGCAAGTCAAAAATTAAATTTTCTTAATCATACTTTATATGACGCAGGCTCCTTTAAATACCAGACACAGAGGTCCCCAAGCAATACAACTGAGGGGTGGGGAACAGAACAAACAACAGCAACAGGCCCAAGAGAACCAGCAAAATATGTGATGGCCATGAGGAAGGCCACCTTACAAGAAAGGTCCGCCAAGAGGATATCCCTCATGGGCTCAAAAGAAGGCCTCTGGAGAGCTGACAAGACCAGTTTAAGATCCCGTGGCGAAACCAGGGAATGAATGAGGAAGTTTTTGTCCGAAAGTAAGCAGCAAGAGGTCTCTGGAAAAAGAGTCCAGGGTGAGATTTAACTCGAGGATACTCGACGCCAATTGCTGGTCCAGACCAGATTGGAGAAAAGACAGCATACACCCCATGGAGTACCTTCTAGGATGGAGCCCTCGTTCCTCACACCAGGCAAAGTAGGCCTTCCAAGTGCCATGATAGACTTTCCGAAATGTTGACTTTTTAGTATTCAGAAGTGTAGGAATAACTACAGGACCAGGGCTTCAACAGCCAAGCCATCAAAAGATGAGACCAAGAAATATGATGGTATACCAGCCCGAGAAAAAAGATTGGGCCAGGTGGGAAGATCGCAAAGAGAATCTCCCAAGAGTGGGAAGATGCCTGAATACTAACTTCTTCTGGGTCAGTTTGCTGCTACCAGGATCCCCAGGAATGCCCTCCATCTTGATCTTGCGCAGCAGTTGAGAAAGAATCCATATCGGAGCAGCGTAAAGATGTACCGTATATACTCGGGTATAAGCCGTCCCGAATATAAGCCGAGGTACCTAATTTTTTGAGATTAATCCCATGGGGTCAGCAGAGTGTCAACTGTGAAGGTTAGGAGGATACCTAACCCTTGCTGTTAAAGTGGGATGCTAAGTACGGCTGCAACAACTAAAGTGGGATGCTAAGTACGGCTGCAACAACTAATCGACTTAGTCGATTACAAATCGACGATAGAAAATTTTGTCAACTTTTTCCATCATCGATTAATCGGTTTTTCGATTAGTTGCCCCTCTTCGTGGCTCCACACACGCTGCACCTCCTCCCTGCCTCACGCTCTCTGCTGACAGCCCCCCCCGCATCCACAATCGGAACAGGGACGTGGGGAGAAGAAGCAAGAGAAGGCATGGGGGGGGGGGGGGTCTACAGCGGAGCAATGCAGAATACCACCAGCTATAGAGGAATACAACAAATCCCAGCAATAGTACAATATACAGCGCCATGCAGAATACCACCAGCTATAGAGGAATACAAGACATCCCAGCAATAATACATTATGCAGCGCAATGCAGAATACCACCAGCTATAATGTATTATTGCTGGGATTTGTTGTATTGCTCTATAGCGGGTGGTATTCTGTATTGCGCTGCATAGCGTATTATTGCTGGGATTTGTAGTCCTCTATACCCAGTGCCATTCTGCATTGATTTCTCTATAATTTTTAAAATCCGATTAATCGAACTCATAAATCGGCTAACTAATCGATTTTGAAAATAATCGTTAGCTGCAGCCCTAATGCTAATAGCCACATCTGGCATTCTCCACCGGTGACAATTTCCCAAAACACCTCAGGGTGGAGAGACTATTCCCCCAACGTTCATGACCTGATGACTGAGAAAGTCTACAAGCCAACTGTCTACTCCAGCAATGTGGACATGGCCTTAATGTGCCTTTTGGCCCAGGCCAGAATCGAGTAAACTTCCTGATGTCACTCTGATGGTTGATGTAAGCCACAGACATGTCGTAGGGACAGGTGAATTGCCCTTACCTTAAGAACATTGATGGAAGTCTGGGATCCCACAAGGTACAAGTTTCCTGGACGGGCTCCGCCCTGAGAACGCCTCCCCAGTCCGATAGGCTGGCATCCATTAAAAGAACCATCCAGGTCAGTGGGAGAAGTGACCTGCCTCCAGTGTTGGGCTGATCAGCCATTAGGTCAGTGAGATACATATGAAGTGATCCAAAAACTGGGTATTTTGTCTCAAACACAGCCAGAACGTTCTGCTGGAAAAAAAGGCTTGCAGGAGGCTACCATTAAGCCCAGGATGTAAAACTGCACTGATGATAGCTTCTTGGAGAGAAGAATCCTAACTTGAGAACAAAGGGTCAAAGCCTCACTGGGAAAAATTGCCCAGGCCTTGTTCATGACTGAGTATCCACCGGAAGTTCCGAAGTGTCTGGAGCATCCGATGGATATTGGCGCAGAGGGCCTGGGCTGAGCAATCCTTCAGATGGGGATAACCCACAATGTGGATTTCCCCGAGAGTGCAACAGAGTAAGAATGGGGCCAGAACCTTGGTGAAGACCTAGGGGCCAAAATTAAAAGCCACAAATGAAGTGCTCTTATACCACAGGAACTGCTGATGGGGAGGAATGCCAAGAACTCTCCTCGTTACTATAATGACAAAGCAGGCTGATTCCATGCAGAATTTTTGGCCCTCCAATAAAAACGTGGAGAACCTCCTTGATCCAGGATGGGGTTAACAACCCCTTTGGGTTTTGGAAGCAAAACCCCTAAAAGAATTCCGAAGAGTGTAGTAGCTTCAAGGCAACGTGAAGTTTCCTTCATCTCTGCAGAGAAGAGTGAAGATTTCAATGCACGAGGCTGGAAGTAACTCCAATCCTTATTACCAGAACACAAAGTCTATGACCCAAAGATCTGAAATGTCCATTTCCTACAAATCGTCTCCACAGACCAGCATTGTAGCCACAATATTCTGTGCATCTAGAGTGACAAAAGCTTCAGGCGAGAACCTTGGTGCAGAATATAAGCGAATATGCCATATAGTATTTGTGAGTCCCAGCTTAAAGTGAAAAGTTAGCGAGTCATTCATGAATTAAATATCAATAAAGTCCTTGCCAAGGTGCCCAGAAACTCCTATAAACAGTGTGTGCGTGATTCCACACCACAGTGTCTCAAATCCAAAACCGCACTCACCAAATGTCTACGGCCATCTTATTACAGATGAGCCTTATATGTCTTATCCCCAGGACCGTTTATATACTTCTCTCCACTTATAACTTCCACTTCCAAGAGCAAAATGTGCCTCCTTATCTCTGCTTCTCCGTATTTCTCCACTCTTAATGCCACTTATTTCCCATCAGAGATCAGAAAGAAAGATAAATGCCTCCCATTGTGTAGTATTTTACACCAACTTTATAAAAAAAACTTAAAACATCCTCTCTGTGTCAGAAAACAAGCGTATGCTCCGCCCTTCCGACGCGTTTCATCATCAGACATTGATATACACAGATTGGTATTTGATAGGCGCATATTGATATAAGTATGCACTAAGTGATCCTTTAACTGATGGATTTATAAAGGATAAACAGTTATAAGTACCCATTTCACTTGTGCTTGACATTTACCATCTGAAGGGATCCCCGGGGGGTACTCACAACCGCTGCTGCAGAGCAGAATGGTGCAGCCAACCTGTGGCTCACAAATAAAGGCTGCTGGATAACACCATGAAGGCCTGTGCTGAAACCCAGGGCTCAGAGATAGAGCAGATGTGTGTGTTCTCTGCAAGAGCATGTGCTCAAAATGGCTCCTTTAGCCTGAGGGAAACCAGGATCTGCCTGCAGGGTGGGCTAAACAACCTCTGGATGACTCAAGTCTTAAGAGGTTGAGTCTCAGCTTACCACCACACCGTTAAGATCCATCACAGTGGAGAGACTCCCTACTTCATCTACTTTAGGAGGGCATACCCCCTCCTTCATGGAGGGGGTCTTCATGTACAGGGCTCCACCAGACCGGTGGACCATGGCACTGGACCTATAGAGTACCTTGCGACTAACTGCACCTTGCTGTATGGATATACCAAAGGTGAGCACCTCACACAGTGTCCAGGGCCATAAGCAACACAAGAGGCCGGCCCTCCCATCTTCCACACGGCTGAGTCCGGGTACATGCAGGGTCCGCAGCTTGCCAAAGGGCACCAATCTGAAAAGTGCAAGATCATTGCCTCAGTGGCTTTGGCGCAGCTGGGTTGAGGAGAGATTGCTTTTCAGATAGGACAACCTTCCACAATCTAAGTGTCAACCTAAGGAAACTAGCAAATAAACAGATGGTCGTCAGAAGGGTTACATTGGCTTTCTTTCAATTCTGTTTGCCACTGCCAAATCGCCTGAAGGTGGCTGCATATTAATTATGATTAACGGAGCCTGTGTCATGTACGATTAAACTTTTTTTTCGTTTTTGCTTGTCTACCTCTTTCCCTTAACTACCTTCCCACATCTTTCTTTCTGTGTTTTTATTTGCCTTAGTCTTGCAATTTGCTATGGCTCTGATAGGGGCGGGGAGTAGGTTTGGATGCTGGTCTGTCTAGATGAAAATGCAGGTTGCAAACAGAACTTGTGTGTGGTAAAATTAACATATGTAGCTCTAGTATTAGCATACATTTTTGTCTAAATTTAAGAACATGGAAAAAACTATCTAAGCACACCTTCAGAACACTTTTTATTGTCACTGTTCTCCCCGCACGTCTTGATTTCATCCCCTCTCTCTTCTGGAATGGTATCTGGGCCAAGCACCTCCCGTAACAGATCTTGATCTTGTATTTTCTGTCTCCGGGGCTGGGAACGTTTCCTATATGTCCTAGGAAAAAAGATCAAGTAGATGTAATATGAACAGCAGTTGTGGTAAGACAAAAGAAATCCAGTCACAGAAGACTACAAACTTGTGGCTACTAATCTACAGTGTTTAGATATATTGTTTGAAATGATAAAACAAGGGAACCCTAGATGGACTCTTAAACGTAAACCATAAACTGTGGTATAAACCCAGTGCATTGTTACAATTAATTACATATAATATACCTCAACAGGGTGCTGTACTTAGTGTCCTAAAACATCAAAGCAACCTGCCTAGGTTATTTGCATGCAGACCACTCTAGGTAAAGCCTACGTGCGATGCTGAGCCTCCATGACTTGCTGCAGCTATTAATGCACAAAGTAAGAAGCTCACAGTGTGCAGTAAAAACAAAGCATTTTCAGTAAAAGAAAGCAGCCTGTACAACTAAACAAGTCTAAAGAAAAAGTTGGAGTTCAGCTTTTAGTGGCATTGGTTGCAGATGGAAGTATCTTGGCAGCGCATCAGCTTCACATCCAGCAACTTGTTGTGATGTTTTTCTTCTGGCAGGCTAGTCTCACACATCGCTTAAACACATGGTTCCAGAATCCATGGATCCAATTGGATTCCAGAAGCTGGAAGCAGAGCAGCGTGGAGGTAGCATGGCATGCATGGGAAAGACTGTGCTGGACGACCTCGGGATGGTCAAGAGATACTGTGTGCTGTATGCTGGAAGCCGCTGAAAGGAAGGAACGACGTGTGGGATATAGTGTGCTTGGAGCCACTGGATCACAGGAAGCAGGGATGCTGATCACTGAACACCTGAGTTTTTTGGGTGCACAATGTCAAAGGGGTTATGTCAAAGGGGTTAGCAAGTCTCACAGTTATTCTGCTCTTTCCTCCTATCAGCATGTCCCTAGTCAGCACATGAACTAGCTGCCTCCTTGTGCTGCTTCTTCCAATTACACTCCAAGCTTTGCTGTAAATGTACTGCAAATGGCCATTAGCAGATCAATCTCAGAGAAATGACAGCAGAATGTGGAAGTAATACACACCACTTCCGCATTCAGAGATCGGAGAGGTGTTCAGCAAGTGGAACAATGCTGATCTCCCTCGATTTTCATGCTGAGAGCCGACATGCCGGTCCCGGGCCCGCAGAGGGGACACCACTGCTTGCAATTAAAAATATATTTAACAATGTATTATAACTACTGATCTGCCCCAATTTGTATTTTATTTTCAGCTTTAAATATATTTTCTTTAACTCCTGCTTGAAAGGGAAAATGCCTTTTCCACAACTGGAGTCAAACGGTATTTTCTGAGTATCTTTCTCTTTTAAAATTAGATCTTTAAGTGTAGAGGCAATTACGTTCCTGGAGAACCATGCTGGGAGGTATGCGGAATCTACTCTGTGGCCTTAGGAACTTGTCTATCTCATCTAATGGGAAAAAAAGGTATCTAGAGAGTCCTCCCTCTTCTTCCAACACCAGACTCTTCCCAGAAAGATCTAATTCAGTAATTCCTCCATGTGATATAGTCCTCAGAATAATGGGCACACAGGCCTTTGAAGTAGAAGGATTAAAAGTAGATCACATAGATCTAAAGGACTGAAAAATGGATACCATTTCTGAACTGATTGCATGGCAAGGTCTGTTCTATCTGCCTAGACACCACATATTTTTGCTACTCATATTACCTAATGATTTCAGTCTGTATCATTTCTCAGTGGAATCTGCAATTATGACAATAAAAGAAAACATCTGGGGAAAAGCAACATAACACTTCCCAAATGGCTGATATTTAGATGGTATCTATAAAACATCATAACCAGGTAACCCCTGAAAAGATAACAAGACTGATGATATAGTAGTCAGTTATCACTTAGTTTACATTGTGATTCTCTTTTCCATAACTACCTAACCCCTTCCCAACCAATGACGGGAATATCCTGTCACCATTGTTCAGTTCGTTAACGACGTGAAGGGACCAGCAGCTCATTGCGTTACTGCTGTTGATAGGTCCCCTCGGGGTCAGAGGCAGACCCTCAAAGGCAGATTAGGTGGTCTCAGTTCTGTGATCACAGCGAGAGCTGATTGCTGTGATCGCAGAGCTGTGACAGTTACACAGCTGGCAGCAGTTGAGCTGGAGCCGGCTGCATGTTCACAAACGGATACAAAGTATCTCTCAAAAGAATATGTATTCTACTTAGAGATACTAAGAGAGATGCTAAGTATCAAAGTCCCCGTAAATAAAAATAACCCCTTAGTGCCCCCTAGTTTAAAAAAAAAAGTAAAAAAAAAAAATATGTTTAACTACTTGCCATCCGCCCATTGTAAATAAATGGAGGGACGGCAAGCTCCTTTCAGCAGGGCACCCTAAAAATACAGCTTTTTTTTTCTGCTCGCGCATGCACGTGCAGTACACACTGACACTTGTACACAGCCGGTAACGGCTGTTACACATACAAGCACTCGGCGGCTCTATAGTCGTCCAATCCCTTGTATAGTACCAAGCAGTGTACGCCCCACCCTCCACCGTCATTAGCATATATCCGGGGCTCTGCTGTCCCCTCTGCTGGCCCGGGACCAACTTGACGGCTCTCAACATGAAAATTGGAGGGAGATCAGCATTGTTCCACTTGCTGCTGATTTCCTCTCTGATCTCTGAATGCGGAAGTGGTGTGTATTACATCACTTCCGCATACAGCTGTAATTTCTCTGGCTGCTATAGCTAGAGAAGAAGCTAGTGAACCAGATCTCTGCTTTATCAGCTTCTTTGGGGGTCCTAGGTGACATTAGGGGTCTTGCAGACCCCTAATGTCTCCATAAAGAGGACCTGTCAGTGTGCCTGTGCTATCGCATAGGGGGATAGTAAAAAAAATTAGTCATATATAAAAAAAAAATGTAAAAAAACAAACAAAAATGTTTTAAGTCCCCCACCCCCACATAAATATGGGTTGGGTGCGCCAACGTGCGCAAATTACAATTGTGCTGCACATGTTACATATCACCGCAAAAGTCTGTTTCTCACAATGGAAGGCGCCTTCTAAACAGACCAAACTGGTTTTTTTGACAATGTTATGGCTGCCCTGTATTGTTTCCACATTATTTGTATCACAATGGGATGGTGTTATGGGGAAGCCTTGTGGAAGCAATCACACCTAGATTGGTCAACTTAATCAACCTTGACTACTGATGGCAATTTATGATACAAGGCTGCCACCTAGAGGTGGGAAAGTGAAATACATCATATTTCGCTCTCATACAAGTTTTGAGGGGAAACACCCACAAGTGGGAGGCCATTTTCTCAGAATAAAAGCCAGCAGCCCAAAGGTTCAACAGAACTTCATGAAGGGTTTCACGAGAGGACTGAACTCTTAATACAAAGGACTTAGCAGAGACTGCAACGAGAAGTCATTTTCCTGCGAACGCCTAAGTGCCAAGAAGTCCTGTTCATTACGGAATCTGCAGCTTGAAGCAAAGTACTATTTTAGTGTTTTGTCTCTTAGAAAGCATTACATGTACTAGAAGTATAGTGCAGTGGGTGCATGTGATTGTTTGTAGCAGCCTGTATGTATGTTTTTGTTTATGTTTGTTTTTCCTGTAACTAAGTTTGTATATGCAGCATTTTCGCCAAGTAAAGTTCTTTAAATGCTACTAGGTCAGTTTCCCTGAGCTTTACTGCAAGAAAAAACACAATAGAAATTAAAGTTTTGCCAAGCTTTACATCTGGCGTCATCCTTGGGATGAGCTTTAGGTCTCTGGGATTTGTAGTCCAGAGCATTACAATGTCAGAGTGCAAGCAATAATTCTAGGGCCATTAATCACTGATAACACTAAACTGATGAACGGTAAAGGCTTTTAAATTGTCGCCTATGGGCAATTTTGGGTATTGTAGATTTTTGCAGTTTCGCGGGTGCACTCAATTTTAAGGCTTGATATGTTTAGTGTCTATTTACCCGACGTGACCCCATCTTTTATATTTTACCAAAAAATGGGGTAATAATAAATGTTTCATAACTTAATATAGGGGAAAGGTTTTTTTTCTACATTTTTGGAAAACAAAATCTTAAATTAGTAAAAACAAAAACAAAAAAACGAGTGGTGAATAAATACCATCAAAAAGAAGCTCTATCTGTCCCCAAAAAATGGTATCAAAGTAATTTCAGTACAGCGTTGTATGACTGAATAAATGTCAGTCAAAGTACAATAGCGCTGAATACTGAAAAATGGCTTGGACAGGAAGGGGGTGATGTCACCGCGGGAGAGGTGGCTGGATGCCCGGGTGGTATGTGTGGAGAGGCTGCTACATGCTGCACTCTGGCTGATTGTGTCTGGCTGCTGGAGCGAGGAGGAGGGTCGGCAGCTGGATGTCAGTACTGTGGTCATGTGGAGTGGAGAGCAGCCATGTAGCTGGGATGAGTAGAAAGAGACGTCTCAGTGAGGAAAACTTTTTTTGGCAGCCCACCGCGGGAACGGTGCCTGCCCGCAGCCCGGGTGGTGTGTCGAGAGGCGAGGAGTTTTGAAGATTAGTCTTCTTTTTCAAGCCTGTTGGAAGCCAACAGGGTGTGTTACAATGGTAGTCTCCCCTCCACACTGATACATTACTGCCATCCAGCTGCTACCCCTCCCCCCCTCTCCAGCAGTGAGACTTAATCCACCAGAGTGCAGCACCAAGCAGCCCCTTCACACATACCACGCGGGCTTCGAGCCATCTCTCCCGTGGTGACATTATACGTCTCCCCATTGCCACTTTCCTACCCTCTGTTTTTCCACATCCACCGCTGACATCGAGCGCCCCCAGAAAACCTCCCCTTCTTTTCTCCCCCCCCAAAAAACATCGGCGGACATTAGGACACCGTTGTACATCACCAATAAACGGTCCCAGAGATGAAATAGGATTCTTTCCTCCATCCCCATCATTCAGCAATAAAAACTGGCAAAAAGCCTATCCAGCAATTAGGATCATTCACCACCGCCCCCACACAACAGCAATATGCGATCTCGAATCCTGCAACATCAAGATTC